ATGCTGTGTAAAGATTGAGTAAAGAACACCTACTTCCGGAGTATTGTATCGCCAACAAAGACTACTAAATTTAGACAGGAAATTTCATAAGGATGTTTTTATTATTTAATGCAAATAAAAGTCGTTTTACTTGATATTTGAATAATAGTGTATATTAATGGTTTCATCACCAAATCTCTTCTAATCATTGCAACTTTTTAAACATATTGATGATTGCTTTTACATTCACTGCTTCATTTGCTGTTTTAGGTACATGGTCTTAGAGTTATCATAACAATATTCGGACCTAAAGGGTTATCATTGAATGGGACAGTCGTTTTGAATATTGTCACTTATCTCGGATATATGTATGAAACAAGATATGTTATCCTTTTTCCCTCCTCCGTTAATGTAAAGCCAAGAACTTTTCCATATTCGCTACTAGTCATCGAATATCACTCTGCAACGATATTGAAAATGCCCAACGTGTGAGGTTACCTGCCTGCCATGTTTTAATTCATTCGAATGGTGGCACAGTTCAGCATATACACACGTACTTGACGTTGTTCTAAACGTATTAGATATGTAAACACGAAAATGATTGAAATATTGGGCTAGTGCACCTTCCCATCTAGATTTTGACTTTTCCTTCAGTTACTTTAGATTTTCCACAGCCGTCTCCTTGGATTCAAAATTTTGGCCCTTAGCATCACTGACAAGTCCCAAAAGAGACGAAACAGTTGTATGATGCAGTTTACTGCAATGTTTGACTCTACAGTATCTTACTCTAATTTGTATTAAAATGTGCAGTTCACTTTTGTGTGCAGTTCACTTGTGTGTACTTTGTGCAATCTTTCTAATGGTCTTGCAGTCGGAAAGGACATACCATATTTCTTGAAAAAGTATCAACTATCAAAATGGGAAAGTTATATGACTCTTAGCGCTTTAGACTACAATGTGAAGCAATTTCAGAGAAAAAAGTCTAAAGAAATTATCCAACCCCTATGCTTGCAAAATACACGTATCATCAGTGTAACAGTGATGTGAACAGAATATACCCTTAATGAAACTTATGGAACTTAAAAATCCGCATAAAAGAGAGTTCAAGTTATGTCATATATTGTAACCAAGACTTAACTAATTGTTTGGTTTAATTTTGAGTTTGACTATACCATTGACATACTATTAACGATACCTTTAATCTGCTTTTTCATAGATTTTAGTGAACCATTTACACATTCACTTGACATTAATCCTTTCTTCGGTTGTTGAAACTGTGCTTAACCTCTGTTCTCTCCTTAATTCTACACCGATGGTTAGAATTCCATTATCCATCATACTTACATATGTTAGACAGCAAGAAGCCTTAGTAATATGGTACTTAATATCAATTTTGGTTGTAATTGCTAGGTATATCATAATAAATTATTGAAGAAGAAGCGTCGGATTGATCGTACCCAGAATTCTATACATTTAAACAGGATATAGGTCATACTGGTGTAACCTATATTGTAACGGAAATTAACGGTCAGTGAATCACATGATCAATATTCATTGTTCATACGACCAGATTAGTTTTCAAATATGATAGGCACTGTGATGTCTGTGAGGACATATTTATATATGCTATTTTATAGCATGGTGGATCTGCTTTAAAGTTTAAATTGCCTAAATGTTTAGCCTAGGAGGTAACTGAGGACAATCCAAAGCGATCGAATATAAAATGGCCGTGTTGATCAGTAAATTTCTTTATCTTCATATAACTGATGATTTTAGAACAATGTCAAGTGTGTATGTATACAGCTGATTATAAATGTGACATTTATTTGAAAAGACTGGAAATGAAGTATCACATGTGATTATCAAGAAAATTGCGTTTAACAATTCCCAAATTAGAAAATACTCTTTTTATTTAGTAATTTCGTGTTTGAAAATAACCTGTTGTGTGTGAACTGGAGTTGAGTTAAATATGGTATCGAGATTTTTACATGCAGTTGAAATATGCAATGTCCAGTTTGCATATTTATAATAACGAGAAGAGAATGTTTTGTCTAAATGGATAACTGTATTATGACCATGAGAAAACGTCACAGTTGTATATATCCTATAAATTTGCAGGATGATTTAGGCAATGGGCGAATCAAATAACGTAATAGAAAACACTTATTCGTTTTAAGGAAATTGGTAAGGATTGAGAATTTCTGTAACTGAGTTGGGCATAGTCTATGATCGAGTTATGAACATCTATTATCAGTAGTAACGTCGGTAAAGACTAGTGTGACATGACTAAATCTGGCGTTGACAGTTGGAGTGTCTGTGTTTGGTAGGATAGATAAGAGTGATTTCGGGGTCGACACAGTTATTGTCACGGGCCATAGCGAGGCCCTCCTACCGTCCCACCAACACTTCCAGAGCACAGTTTGCACAAACACACCCGCACATACAGACGTTTAAAGGGAAAACTTTCACAAACATTACCGTAAATCTCCTCATAATGAACTAGGTAAACGTCAAACTTTACATCACGGTGCCACATCCCAGACCTGGTTATAACCATTATATCTACCTGTCACCCTAGTGTTTCTTAATAACCTTCACGTCACCATAACTCCCCAGTGTCATTACAGCCTTCAAGTCACCATATCGTTCCAGAGTGGCTTTCACTTTCATATCTTCCCAATATTATTGTAGCCTTCAAATCACCACATCATTGTAGAGTGGATATCACTGTCATATCTTCCCAATATTATTGTAGCCTTCAAATCACCACATCATTGTAGACTGGATATCACTGTCATATCTTCCCATATTACAACATTGTGTAGTTTAACTTCATCATTTCACTCGAATAGTAGATAATCATTATAATTTCTACGTCACTGTTTAACTTTTTTATTGTACATTTTACTGTATTTATTTTTCAAAATAAATCCAGTAAATATTGACCACAAGTATTAAGCGTTTAGATTACGTTGAGATGTTGTTAAAAGCTGAAGCATTTTTATTTTTTTTTAAACAATGATCATGGAAAGTATGAAACAAACTGTACTCATGGCTATCGAGCTATGAATTGATATTTTCGAAGATACAGGAACAATAAACCCTTGAAATAACAATAGATGGATCCAGTTATGGTTACAGCTTACCTGTATTTTGTTGATATCTGCTGCTCGTCTGTTAACGTACATGTCCGCTTAAACTGTTGAACTTATCATATGATGATATGATCTAACATTAAGACTAGTAGTAAAACCTAATGAATACGATAATACGTTATCATTTGAAGAAATATAATCTGAAGCGGTAGTGTCTTAGAGGTTTTAATTATTCGAATGTACGTTTATATATATATTGGTCGAAGGCTCGTCAACAGTTCTTCACCGATATCCGCTGTATGTGGGAAAAGAAACAACTTTCGAGAATTAGGTATTGCATTTGAATATAAAAATGTTTTTTAAGAACGTTCTGGATAGGGTTTTAGGGCCTTCCTTCTGAATTTATCATGTTCAAAATAATTACTACGAATGTGAACTTAAACTGAAAATTCTTGTTGATTTCAGAAATGCACATGTATAAACAATTGTGCACTGCTTTAGCCCTAGCTCACAAGTGTTGCCTATTACCTGGTATAATAACCGTCTGTTTCATCTCTACAATTCCTACCTGTGTTTTATTCTCGACATCATTTACTTGGACGAGAGGGCAATTGTTACTACCGGCATTTGTTCAGATGTACATAAAATGCTTCATAACAAATATATCATGAGTGGACTGCCAATATACATAAATGCCAAATACTAAAAATATGTGAAATAGAAAACGAAATGAAAAGTGTTTATGCACATAATCCAGGTCATTAATACACATACAACTCGGTCGATAAAGAAAAGGAAAAAACATCATTGAATTTGTTTCCTTAAGTAAGGGATTGCTTCGAAAGCAACCAGACTTTTTACAATTTTTTAAGAAATTGTAGAACAGACACACAAATGACACTCTCCAGTACAAATTTATGATAAGATAAAGTAATAAGAAGTAATTAAACTGTACCATACAATTGAGTTGTCCTTCTAGAACTTGTCAGCGATGTATATGGTCTTAACGTGTTAAAACCAAGGGCCACTGAGGCAATACAAAACTGGATAGAATTAATATCAAAATCTAGAAATGTAAGTGCTTGAACCCAAAAAATCTTATTTTCAAATAATAAATAATTTTTTTTGTGCCACTTATATTGATATCAATATTAATCCATTTTTTTAATATTCCGTGCTGTCAGGTACAAACGTAACTGATACTGAAGTATTATAACCGAGTTCACCCCATATAGCCCTGAAGAGGATGGTATAGTTGTCAAGCTACACACATACCGGCGTGTGCTGGATATAAAACCAAATAAAATATCATATGAGTGTTTGTTTGGGATTTACCAAACGACATTAATAAAAGCAGTACCCGAATATCAAATGAATAATTCCTGAAGTCCGTTATCTCCTGGTGGAGGCTTTACGTATATGAATCTGTTTATGTGTTGGAAAACTGAAGTGCTTGATACTAGAACAAACAATGGCCGTCGCACTTTAAGAATGTTTGAATCGATGTCCTTCGATGATAGCAGTTAGCTGATAAAATTAGATGTAATGTCCATTTTCTATGTTTATTTTAACCTCTGGCGTGATATACTTGTTCCAATTTATCAAATAAGTAACCTAATACTGTGCCATACCAAGGCTGGACTCGGCAGAGATCCACTAGCTTGCTAACCGCCGTCCATTCTGATATAGTTATTTACCTGTTGTGCTAACGCTGTGTTCGGAAGGAACAATTACTATAGGAATATCAGCTTTAGCAAAGATGGATGTCTTAAATGCTTTCATAAGACTAGTGCCAGACAAGTCATATATTTGACGTGCATGATGATCGCATTACATGTGAAATCACAAGGAAACATGTAAAACAAAGTTTATTTCAAATAAGTCATTACGCGTATGATGCTAAATTCTTGATTCCTTTGTATACAGGGAAGCCGGAAGTAAAACAATGGGAACACAATTAGAGTTTACAGGTAAGTAGCTTTGATCTTATTAATTTTTTAATGATTTTTCTTGCTTGAAAGCAATTGCAGATCAGTTAAGCTATATACACCTTTTTGTAGTTGTTGTTAATTTAAATATTTTTATAATGAAGAATGATCTTGTATTCATCTGTAACGTAATCGTATACCTTTATTAATTTTATAAATAATACTTCGTATCAAATGACATGTATACCTTAAATTAGATCCAGAGTTATGTCTTAGTGAAGGCATTTAAACACAAAGGCCTAAACCTTGTAATAACTGTTACGTTTGTCTCGTGCTCTTCATTGGTGAAACCATTATCCAAATCAACTGTAGGAGGTTTAATGTTCCTTGAATTCATACTCTTAATCACCGAATTCAAGTGTCAACAAAATGGTAAACAGTTAAGAATTAAGAATGATCATATAACAAGTGAATATAACGACATACCCAAGACATCAGGCACTAATGAAAATATATTTTTTCAGCAAATACCCGAAATTTAAACTCAACGAAAATATATGATTTGACAGTGTTCGGAATATATTAATTTTATCGCTTCTTGTTATCAAAAAAGCATGGATAAATGCGGAGATATTTAATCCGTTCGAATTGTTAGAATAATGTTTTTCTTCAGAAAGCTTTACACTTGCCAAACTTACAATGATCTACCATCGTGTAGTTTATTCGTAGCAGTAGTCATTTCCGTTCATGCGTAGTCATCAATGATAACAAATAAGCAATTCAGCGTTGGAAATTTGAAAAATCTGTTGGCCAATTCATGGGATTCACTGCCATACTGAGTATATAAGAGGTTAGAACCCAGGTTAGTAAATAATCAGCTGCATCGTATTGTCAATCGATCACGATATTGTTAAATCATCGATAAATTACATTTTTCAATAACAGGAGATTTCTGTTTTTAAAATGTAGTATTGACCTTGTATTTATAAGTTCTTATTAAGTTTTATTGATCGATTTCATTAAATAAAAGTTCAAAATAACTTTTACTTTAGTTGACATTTTCCCTTGCTTTGTGTGTGTTTTACTCATGCCTCAATGTTAAAAATGCAAGTTTGATCTTTTATTCTTGGCCTCTTGACCAAACTTCTCAATATAACTAGCATTCTGATTTTTAAAAAACCCTTTAAATAAAAATTCTATTGGAAGGATCTTCGTGTATCTAATTAGGCAATATAATTTCAAGTGTGATTTATTTATGGAATCCATATTAACATATTAAAATGATAATCATCTTCAATTTATTGCTTTTCATATACAGATTCGTGTGTAAAAATTCAAATAAAAGACTGTACACCCGGCACACAGCTTATCAACCCCTGCACCTGTAATTCCTATTTTGAGTGTGATACAAATTTCAATATTGTGAACCGGACATGTGCAGCGGGGACTCTCTACGATCACATCACTAACGGGTGTAATACTGCAATCAATGTAGAGGTCAAAGGAATATGCAGAACTCATGAACCATGGCTTCAGTGCTTGAATGAGACAGGAGGTAGGTCGTCGTATTTATAGTGAAAATGTCATAACAAATAAACGAACAAGATGATATTTGTGGTTCTGTCTTTTAAGATCATGGCACTGAACCTTATCGGTAGAGACTAGGCACCATATGCAAAGTATATCAATAACAATATACCCCAGTGTTTTTATGTAATTCTACATAGTTATAGTAATACAAATAGATAATCTTTTCATGAATCGTCTCTTTTTCACTGCTTCATCTGTTGCTAGCTGATATTCGGATGCTGGCACAGAAATGTGGAGGTTCTTATGTCTCATCAACAACACAGGCGATGACACCGCCCCAAGGGGAAGGATCAGATGGTGGCACAAACACTGGTCTGATCGTAGGGGTTGTAGTGGCATGTACTTTACTGGTGGTTGTTCTTGCCATCGTCGTCTATTACTGGTACAAACGTCAAAAGAAAGCACCGAAGTGAGTATGTCTACTTTTGGTATCTTTGTACTTCTAAGCATGCTACTTTTGGGTCATCATTGTTATATCATTGTATGCATAGTTATGCAAGGCAAAACAATTAATATATATTTCAAAAGAACTACTTTCAAAGTAAGACACACGTTTGTGTGTGTGTGTGTGGGTGGTGGGTGGGGGAGGTAATAGGGAGAAGGATTGACTGTCGAGAGAGAAAACCCGCATAGTTGAGCCGTGTTGATGTTTGCTGTTGTAACTAATCAGATGTATTTGTTAATATTGTTGTGATCTTTCTGTGACAACTGTTTGATTTCACGTATATTTATTCTTATTTCTCTTGTTTCAGAAAATTGAGAGATCATCAGGACAGTATCAATAATCCCAGTTATTTCAACAAGATCGAGCGCATAGACAGCGTGTATGCACAGATAGACGACAACATGGTAAGATTACACAGATTTTACTTCAATATATACACTGTTCTTGTTATGCGTTATGGAATAAGATACTATTCCTGTGGTGTAGGTATTTTCACTTTTATTTTAACCTCTTTTTATCTTGTAAAAGTAATTGATCTTTACACATTTTTATAACGTTTCTCGAATGAAACATAGGCTATCGATGCTGAATTTTCACTACAACAGAAGTGGCTAAAGAACACATTCCAGACATGCCCACTAAGCAACAATGCTACGTAGATGCTAAGATGATACGTGTTCTGTTCTGAAATCGAAATTATAATTTCATTATCATAAATAGATTCAACAGTGGTATTTCTTATTATGATATGAACCTTGCATTTAGTACAAAACAATGTTATCTCTAGTCCATAATTAAATCTCCGATGTCTACATTTGTACAAATAGATATCGTCATGATCTTTGAATTAAAATCTTTCCCAGTATTTCTTTTTCTCCAATGTTACCCTCGATTGTCATGCCAGAAATAATTTTACCTTTATTTTGTTATCAAAAATATGTTTTCGTCTTTAAGCTTTCTATAAAGTACTTAGTGTTGTATAAGGTGTTCAACGACCAATACAAATCTTATATTTTTAATAAATGTATCGACAACTTTATATATGAGGAATTAAAAAGCTCCCACGTTCCTACACCTATAACATTGACAAAATAGGCTCGACATTTCGTACAAAATGTATCAGACATTATTCTCTTTTTATAGAATAACCCTGTGTATAACACGAACTCACTGGCGAGTACACGTCCTCCTCTACCAGGCAACAGACCTTCAACTCAGTCACCGACAGGAGGTGATGTAAACAGTCTCGATTCGAACGACAAGGACAAAACCCTTGATCTTGATATAGCCTACGTGGAACCATCAGTAAGTGTCAACACCCCCAAGGTGTCACGAACCTCGGAAACAATGGACTCCTCCCATGGTTCTGTGTATTCCGAGGTTCTGGATCCGGAACCAACTTTTAATGATATTTCTACTCCGTATGACAACTCATGGCAATCATAGTACTCTGGTCATGACATGAAGGTTTACTTTCTTACATAAATACTCGGATTTCGTCAACACAAACCCCAGTTGTGTTCTCTGTTTCCTATCTGCTGTTGGGAAATTTCCTTTTTGAACTGATTGTTTTTTACTCAGACTTGCTGTAGAAATGATGTTTTTATACAAAGGAGGATTTTCCCTAAATATCTTCTAAAGTACTTGTAACTTTTGTAAATGGCTGTACTTCCGATTTGATAGAAGAAAAATTTATCAGCTGATTTAAACAATAACATATCATAATGTATCTATTTGTAACTTATTCCAATAAGTTCTAAATCCATATGATAGTTTCATAGTTATATATAAATTTTGAAATGTTTCACTCACTTTTGCAAAAAAGTTAATGACGTAGCATTTCTGTTTTCATAAATGTATGAATGAAGGTTTATAGGCATCAAGTGTGAAGACAAGCAATGTATTAAGGAAGACGTTTATAAAATTTCGTGTTTGGAAAGTGACGCGTTCCTCGACGACAACAACTTATGTGCTATATACTACAGATGACGTCTACAAGGATGATACTGTCCCTGGATAAATGAAGCATAATACCTGTTTAATGATAATTTATTATAGCAACAAAATATGTGATATATGTATATTACTACCTGTGGATAGAAGTGGGTAGGTTACACATGTAACTTATCTGAATGTAAAGGATATGAAATATCCTAATTTGGCGCAAGGAGGAACTTTGGGTGTAAAACTATTCTGTATGAACAATTTTTATTGTTTGAAAGAGAATATCAGCATATTTTTCTCTTCAACTATCTCATGCATGCTTCATTACGTAACATTTGTTACCTAATCATTCAATTAAGCAAAATATTATATATGGCATTTTCCTATTTCGATGTGATCTACGTTTTAATTTAGTGCTTGTATTTGTTACCATAAAATTGAAGTGTGCAAGGTACGTATATCAGTTTTGTCTTAATAACGTTGATTTGATATCATATTCACCAGAACGCAGTGCAATACTATAGCAATTGACAACAGTAGTTACGTCACAATTATGACAAGTGCGACACTCTGAGTGTCAGCATAAGTTGTGGATTACATCATTATTCATTAAGGTTTTAATAGGTAAAAAGTGAAAAAGTAAAACATTGATGTCATAACTTCTTAGTGCCTTAAACACAAGTAATGATTGATATATTTTATAAGGAAGTAAAATGCATGTCCGTTTTTATTTAAACACCAGGCATTAATTGTCCAGTATTAGCTACAGTACGGACACGAGGAAAACTATGTTACTGATAACTAATAAAATGTTCAATAACTATATATTGCACTTTTGGCAGTGTTATGTCCGTCATGTTCACAACTTCCCACAATCTTCATTATTATTAATAGTTATTATATTATTAAGTTATATTGATATGATGTCTGTTTTTGGTGAATCTCTGATCGATGAATCCGCTTTGTCTGAATAAAATACGAAAATATATGTCCAGTAACCATCTTAACGTGGATTTTTATCTTATTTCTGGTGATTTTCAAATATGTATGATTAATAGACTCGGGCATTAATAGTATCGTTATTCAATCAGAAATGACACGATGAACATTTTATATCCATGGTATGGGTCCACGTACATTATTTTCGCAGGTTTATTTCTTAAAATATGTTTTAGTAAGAGTATCAACACCAACGGAAATATTAAATCACAAGTTACCTCCCTTAGATTTCAATTTTTTTTCCTATTTCAATATTTTTATCAAAGCAGACAAATAAAAACAAAACAAACCGGTTTGTCTATAGCTTAAATGCCTAATATACACTAGACTAGTTGCTATGTGTATGTTTATTTACCATGTAGATAAAACTTGTGTAGAGCACGTATGTTATATGCTTTGTTGATCATGTTTCTACAGATATTTTTAATTGCGATATTTTTATCGGCAGTAACTTTGTAAAGATATTTGAGAGATATCACGCACCACTGTATCATTGGCTTTCTTCACTGATATGATCAGGTTATAAATCAGGTCAATCTGTACTGTTTTGAATGTCATTTTTCTCGATTCCATTTGTATTTGTGATATTGTGTCATTCCTTCAGAAATATAAACATGAATTTTCACATATCTTCCTGCATTTTTATTTTTCTGTCCGATAACAATATTTCGTGACGTTATTTGGAAGCAATCAATTAAAATGGACTGGGGTTACACAAAGATTGCACAAAAGGCACACAAGTGAATAACAACTTTTAATAAGATAAAATAAAATAATAGGAGAACACCAAAGTATACTGGGCAACCAACGTGGACGGGCTTGTTACCCGTACTATTTGTACATTCTCATTGCCAATTTGGGATCGAACCTTAGTCTCACTTTACCACTTTCCACTATATCACTAGACAATATGTTGACATGTAAATAATGTGTAAGCTATATATACATAAGAAAATATCATATTTAAAAAGTTTCTTAATGAAAATAACATTCTTGATACAGTTGACTTTGATTTGCTAACCCTTTAAGAACAAAAGTTTAAACTTCATGTCAAATTATGTCCTTTAAAAAGCCAATACTGATTCATTAACAAAATCTGAAAGACAATGTATGTTATGAAACTGGGGGTAAGATACAAAAGAAAATTTCAAATGGAGACAATTTAAAAGTACAAAGCGAAAACAATGGGGTATTCTAGAAAGTAATTAGGTGTCTTTTGCCACAATGACGTCACCCTTCATGTAAACTTTGGTTGATCAAAATAAGTAATATCAAGTTCTAAAATGACTTACATCAACCAATACGTTAGGAGCACTGCTATCGAGCATTGAAAACATTTATCTTCACAGTTCACATGAAATTGAAATATTTTCTAATCACATAATAATTATGTATATAAAATTGACTGGAATTTTCTTTGAAACAATAACAAAGATTTATAAAACTGGCTCACTACTGGAATATTCTTTGAAACAATTACAAAGATTTATAAAACTGGCTCACTACTGGAATATTCTTTGAAACAATAACAAAGATTTATAAAACTGGCTCACTACTGGAATATTCTTTGAAACAATAACAAAGATTTATAAAACTGGCTCACTACTGGAATATTCTTTGAAACAATAACAAAGATTTATAAAACTGGCTCACTACTGGAATATTCTTTGAAACAATAACAAAGATTTACAAAACTGGCTCACTACTGGAATATTCTTTGAAACAATAACAGAGATTTATAAATCTGGCTCACTTCTCAAATATTCTTTGAAACAATAACAGAGATTTATAAATCTGGCTCACTTCTCGAATATTCTTTGAAACAATAACAGAGATTTATAAATCTGGCTCACTTCTCGAATATTCTTTGGAACAATAACAGAGATTCATCGCTAAACAGTATGTGATTACTGTATAGATTACCACTGTGAAAGGTGTAGATGAAAACGAGAGGTTTAAAATAGCGGTCATATCGAACTGCAATGATAACAAAAACTAAGGAAGAGAGACCCCATCCTTATTAGTATACACATCGAAAAGAAATGAATAGACAGGTTTGTGAAATTTCAACAAAATCGGGAATTTTTTATCATTGAACAGCTCACCAAAATTGGGATTCTTTTAATCTTTGAACAGTTGTTCGGACAGGACAAAATGATAAATGTTGAGTATTTACCTCCTACTAATATTTGCGTTACCTGGACCAGGCAAAAAACTTCTGTAAACAATCATCCGCAAAAAAAACAATTTAATATTTGTAGACATGCACGCCTCGCTGAGTTTGTCAAAGCGAGAATATATAATAAACTGTGAACCACTTTAACTTCTTTCCATGCTACAATGCATTTCAATAGTTAAATATGTAAACTGAATAACTATGATCAGTTTTACATGATGTATATTCAATTGTCAAAGTCAGAAGTTGTTCTTGCCATTTATTGTTATTGAATCACACAGTGATGGGCACAAATGTTAAATAACCAGACCGTATTCTTTATTAAAGTGCACCACATATTCAGCTACTTTTAAGGTCAATAAATATTGATAATAAATAAAGGCATGACACCATCAATACATCTACCTGTAGACAGAACTAACTCTTAATCCATCGAATAAAGACGAAAGATTAAAATTTATCTTGTAAGATGTTAAAAAGGTAGACGAAAACCAACTCTAAATTGATTTTAAATAGAAATAGATTATAAATGCGTTTTTATAGCAGACAGTCAAGGGGTATAAGTGAAGTAAGACCTTGTGCTCCGGAAAAGTAATCTTTCTCTGATTAACAAGAGAACCAAAATATTGACATAACATATGGTTATGATCCATAAATCCCTGCCATCAGTGCGAATGTTAATAATTATATAACCACAGATAACATAAAATAAAGCGAGACAGATTTATTTCAGTGCTAACTATGTACAGCAAACTCAGCGCTGTGACCTTATCTTTTAAAGAAACGATTTCAATTGCATTGTATTATTCCAATCAAATGTTTCATTTCATGACCGCAGTGTTCGGTATGTACGTGCTGTGAACTGGACACAGAATTCTGACATTTAATTAAATGGTCTAATTTGTGTATATCAAATGAACGCTGGTCAAATATGGTGTGTTATCTTGAAAATGAGTTAATATTTGTCTCACTTTAACAAGACGTGTCCCTATACCAACACGTGGGTTGATTGTTATAGGACTATGAAATATGAAATATGAATGTTTATGGGTTGCTAGGTAGAAAGCTAATCTTGTTTCTATAATCACAGCGTAACCTGGTCGTAGGAGATGTACTTTTTGAAAGATCCCATGACAGCAAACAAATAGGCCTTAAATAGCTTAATTTTATTTTTCACATGTCAAATTTATACAATTGACTAAATCGATCATTCAAAACAAACACTAGCTGGATATCTAGATAAGAAACCCGAGAAATCTCCACGTTGAAAAAACACAATGATATGGGTTCAACACCAAGCCCGTCTGGAAAGCTGCACCATAACACAAGGACTCCGACTGTACTTACTGAACAAACATAGACATCGACAAGAGAATGGATATTTGTGAGAGAAAATGACCGACTTATTGGCTCTCACTGTATAAATGACCACATTACGTGGATTAATATTCAAATATATCCTAAAGGTAAACCTATTTATCATATCTTAAGTGGGATCTAGCTATTCACTTTCAATACACCGTCCCATCGAACGACCATTAATTGTGATGAGCGTAGACTGGCCACTCCATAGACAACACACCCCTAATGTACATTGGGGTCAAGAGCTAATGTCACACGCCGGACGTGCAAAGCCATACACATTCACAGCGAGTTGATGTATGTTGAGGTGGCAACAACTCACGGGACATGAAATATACGTCTTACAGTCCGATATTAATCAAGCTGATGAGAGGAAAGTTTATAATTGCAATTTGGAAATTCGCTAATACGGATACGTTTTCCTAAATGACTGTTGAATGTGTGTGCATCAAATGTTAATACACAGATTTTATTTAGATGACAGGACGAAGTACTAGGTCAACATGCAAGTTGTGTATCAACTATCAAGCAAGCCAGTCCATTAGAAGTACCAGCGGAGATGGGCCTCGAGTAAATTAGCACGATTGTCACCTAGGATATGATAACGATACATGCAAATATTCGCACTAGGTAAGCGAGCTATCCATTTATCGGTTCGTTGACTCGAGAGAAAAATAACGCGCATTGCCTTTATCAGCATGCGAGATTGTAATTAATACATCGGAGTTGAAGGTACGGATATTCTAATCCAATTAATTTTTCAAATTAGTGATACTTATTAAAGCACACGGACAACTGGTTGATAACAGTGTTAATGGAACGTGGATACCGTTGGTAGGATGTGTTTGACAACAGTCATTTGTTTTTATGTTGGAACCTGAGGAACAAGATCTTTGTGCCATATACTTCATTCAGAAAAAGTGACACTAATTAGCAGATATAAAAGCTGTGGAGGGTCCATATTACAAAAAATTACCAAACGAGTGACATGTACTTGTGTTTTTAAACATCGTAAAGGATTAAACATGACAAAAGACACCTTTCTAGATGAGCTAGACGTTCATGCCAAAAGGGAAGCCCCACCCGTTAACAATGCATGCGTGCCAGACATATATAACAAACTGGATGCGGACGCCATTGAAAGGACTCGTGTAATTAATGCAATGCTAGACAAACGTCTCGTTGTACAAGAAAAGGTTCTGACCAAATACCAGCACCAAGCAGAAGTGTTTTACAAGAAACAAAAAGAGAGAGTGACTAAAGAGCTGAGAAAGGTTCAACATAGACTTCCAAGTATGGACGACTTCCATCCCAACGTAGAAACAAGTACTCGTATCAAGAAACTGCGAAGGGTCCAATGTCACGTACACACTCCAGTAGGATTCACAACAACGCCTCGGGAAATTAAAGGCATCCCAGCGGAGAGGGATAACAATCCTTTCTGTGGTCGATTCTTTTCGCATCACTTACCGACAAAGGCTAAATGGTACAAGGACGTGCCGAAACCCTCACGTTTAATGTACCGCCATTTGGGACTTCCCCCACACGCCGTCAACAGACGGCTAGTATTGCTCATGTCGCGAGGGCTTAGTGCTAGTGACAATTTCCTTGCAGCAGGTCTTGCTCCTCCTATCAGTACAGGCGACAGTGGGGTGATGTCGGACAATGACGATGCTATGACAATATAAGAATTCCAGGATTTCGTTAATCGTATAAAGTGTTGTGTTTTGGTGGCAAGAACTACCGCATATCCTTTACATGATATCCAATCATCATTTTGGAGTTTTGCGTGTGTCCATTCAAGAGAACAAACAAGTGTTTAATAAACATTTAAATACCTTGTACTTAATCAATTATGAAACGAAACTCTTATTTAAAAGAATTCAAATCAGGATTATATGTAAACCATAATAATCATATTCCATTTTAAATTCACAATACTAATGGATTTGTAAAGCCAACGCGTTACACCCTACGCTACCTCAGATTAAATTTTGAAAGAATATACACTGTGATTTTACTGTCAGGAAATTTCTATTTGAAATAAACCAACAGGGACAGCTTTCCACCAAACTGTACAAGCGTGATTATTTTAATTCCTTTCTTCTGGATTTTCCATTTCTGGGCACCCTCAATCGATGATGTTTATGTCGTGGTAGATTTTTATTCAAGGACTTGTTCCCAATATCACCATTTTCGTCAACTTGTCGGAATTTTCCAAATACGCTCAAATCACAGGTTTTCGAGAGATGCAGGTTGATGAAGATCTTGGGGAAATCTTACGGTCGTACCGTTTGGATGTGTTTGGTGTTTGATGGTTCCACTGTTGTTTACCCGATTTGGGAACGTGACATTACTTACTTTATTTGATAAAGATTTACATGGTGAGTAGCGTTAATGAAATAGAGGACACTTTCAGACGCTTATCCTTCCGGCACACAGTTTTACGATCTTTCTTTCATTCGTATTTTGCCCTTAATTCATCGACTTTGATTTTAAAGTAAGATTATATTGACATGTATTTTTGTCAATATTATTATTCACATGGCAAACATGATTTTAAAATATTTTCTTCTTTATTGAAATGTTTAACTGTGCTTATGTTGAATGGAATAAACAAAACATTCAATGGTTGTCAATTAATGACAAGCCGAATACTTTGGAAAGGTTTGTTATAACGATATATGTCCAACTCAATCTTCAAATAAAGATTACAACACCAGGTTGTTGTATATTCCAAATCCCATGGTCAGAATCCATATATGTATTTATGTGTATAACATACAAACCATGGAGATAGGAGTTTGTGTTTAGTCTCTGTTGGCTGTAAGGTTATGTTTTACCTGCTGAATGCAGTTAAGGTTAGATCAGTATTGTTGACTCGACGATAGTCAGTGTTGACATAGACGAGGGTTCTAATATAATCGTGTGTGCACGGTCTGTTTGTTTTGATTCAACATCGCCATACATACCTTTGCCATTAAACATCACTTGTGATAAGTGCCGAATAAATATTACGTCCTTTTTTAAATTAAAGTTAACGACACACAAGCACTCATTACAGACACTGAATAATATGAACATCATTATCTTTATATTTTAAGAGACACAAGCACTCAGTGAACAAAAACATGTTTTTACTTTACTGCATCCAAGCTCTTTACGAAACTAAAAAATAAAATTCAGTGTTGCTTTTTGGATCACAAGCACACAGTTCGAGAGTAAAAGCATTATGTTTTGTTCTTCTTTCACAGTACCTTTATAAAGACAGACTATTTGTTTTGTTCTTAGATATTGTACAAAAGGCACACATCGATCTCCTTGGACTGCTCTTTGATGCAAAGGACTGAAACTTTGAAACCAAGAAGGCGACTGCGGAAGATCAAAATTGATCGGAAGAAATCTAGAGGAGCATTCGAATCCCATGATTAAATAAATTTAGTAATTTCCATATATCTTATTTCAAATTAGAAATAAGTCAGGTGCGTGTGTATATACAGACTGTGGTATAAAAGAACACAATCGAAGTTAATTATATGACATGACATTGAATAACTACACTGACATTGGACTTACTCACATTTACAAACATAATAGTTTCGACAATCACTTATTTCTTTCGGAACGTAACTGACTTAATATCTCTATTGAAAGTGATCAATCATTAAGGGATATTATAACAGTATACAATATTGTGTATTGTGAGATATCAGGGAATAAATTTTTAATACCTAAAATACTGTTCATTTAATTAATTTGCGATGTCTGATAACAAGAAAAGGCATTTCATAGGCTGTTTGTCATCTAATTCTTTTATTTGTAAGATCATGACAATACAAATTCTGAAACGAAATATCAATTAACGTTAAACATTCTCCTGTTGATGTCGTTGTCCATCTAGCCGCTTAGTGTTGAACGGGATTATCCAAATATTAAGTGGATGCAATACTGGCAATCCTCTCATCACCGCACCGTTCATGTTAAAATATCATTGCAATTTTGGGGAACATTGAGCATATCAGGATGATCTCTAGTACCAACGCCAACATTTACTCTGAAAAAAATCTATATCTAATATCCAATGTATATTTGCCATGCTTACTGTATCTTTAGTGAAAATATCAGTTTACATTATTTGACAAGTATCACAGTTACAAAGGTAATGGATAATATCCAACCTTTTCCATTCTATCAATCATTATTTCATATTTCAATTTGTTGATTCCTGATTTTCATTTCAAGTTTTCGATTTTATTTCAATGTTTCATTACTTTATAAACAATCTACCTGTTGACATCGACACAATAGCTAAACTACTTTTCGTCAAACGAACTGGAACACGTGTACTGTGTTTTGTTGGTCTGGTGATTGGCTGGAAATCAAGACTCTATCTAAACACACAGAAATTGCCCTTGGTCGCTTAATTCCATCTGATGATGTCAGTAGTTGCCTGACGTGTGTACCGTCCTCAGATATCTGTATGACATTGTCAGTTGCCTGTCCACATACATACACGTTGTTTTCCCTGTCAACATCTATTCCTGTTGCCTGGTATAAATTTCCATTCATCAGAACATCAGTGCGATTACCATCAGACAGTCTGGTCACGGCAACTTCTTTTTGGTTGTAAGAATGGATGCTAGCAAACACGTGCCTTTTCTTATGATCTGTAGCGAGGTGCAAACAAGCAAAATTAATTGAATGCTGTTTTGTTTTGCATCCATTTTCTGTAACAAAGATAATCGATTTCGATGTACCAATGACAAATGCATCGTGACAGTAAGTGATACCATAGCAGTTAGTACCAGGAGCTACGGAAACTTTTATTTCCGATAACAGTTTCAACTTAAAGTCCACAATATTGATAACAGAAATGGTATTTGGAGGAAGCATCACCGCTACAGTATGATCATCTACTAGACAAACATCACGTGGTTTCCCAGTCAGTGAGATTCCACAAAGAAAATGTCCATTTTCTTGAAAAAGCTTAACGTTTTTGTTCGCTTTGTCCGCTACAACGATACCACTATCAGGGAGGGACACTATTCCACAGACACTGCAGGTGTTGTTATCTGAAGGAAGTTGTATATTCAACTTTCGTTTCAGCCTCAGCTGTCGTTTGAACAATGTCATCGAAACATCACTCATGGGAAAAGAAGGAAGATTCCTCGATTGCTTATCAACAACTATTTCACCCATAAGAAGCTTGGTGTTTATGTCGATAACGTGTGAGTCATATTTGTGACTTATACGTATGGTGTTTTTTGGTAAATTCTCGAGTTCCTGCATGAGCCCCTCGCAAGATTTCACTTGCGCCTTTCCCTTTTGAAACTGACAAATAGTACCGACGACATCTTCCTTTAAGGTTTCATTCCCGTACGACGCCAGCGTTTTCTGCATCGTGAACTTCAGCCGTTCACATTTCTGTATCGATATATTCAGATTTTCTTTCTCTTCCTTGAAGTATGATACTAGCTTGTCCGTCATCTCTTTCTGCAGTGTGTCAAATCGTGTGTCTATTTTACGTCGTAAATCTGCTAAACTTCTCAACGCAGTTTCTTGATCATGTGCCATTGTTTTAAATTGTTCGCCAATGTCTTTAATCAGCGTTTCCATGGCTTCAGTGCACTTATGTAATGACTCAATTAGATCATCGACCTTTGAGCTCTTTCTCAGTTTATCGTATGACTCCTCTGCTGACGTTACAACTTCACACTTCCGATGGTCGTTGTCGATACATTTCCTGCAAATAAGATGCTGATGGTCCTCGCAGTAATACTCCATCTTTTCATTGTGTTTTGCACATCCATAGACAATGGCTTTCGGACTTTTTACAACTGGTACATTCACGTTAGTGAGGTCTTCTGGATTGCACTCTTCATGAATCACGTCGTGGTAATTTACTTTGCAATCAGCACAGAAGAACGTATTATTTGGTTTACACCAAAACTTTGCTAATACACCAACTTTACCTCTCTTCTCACATGGTCTGCATGTTTTAGAAATAACCGTTCTCTGTGACAGTTTGATCATCTCAACAACCAAATTATTGATGGGGAACTGTTCAGCCCATTTCCCTTTGGCTTCTGATGGGTTCACCGGCTCAATGATTCTTCGGCACACAGGACAGGAGAAAGAAGTCGCAGACGACCCTTTATCCGACAACTCTTTTATGATGTAGCTTCCTAGACATTCCTGACAAAAGGAATGCAGACAAGGCAAGGACTTCGGTTGTTGCAGCTGCTCCAGGCAAATTGGGCATTCAAGCAAATGCGGGTCTGGGGACGAATCACATATGCCTTCTATCAGTGACTGCAAGTGGCAGGGTTCGGCTTCCGCCATGATAAATGTATGTCAGTGTAATATTACCTGAAACAGAAGGTTATCGTTTACTTATCAAGAACAGAAAAATTATTTATTGTTTACAAATGTATCAATTCATTATTCAGTTACATCTCACTGGTAAACTACTTACCCACTTCATCTTTTATTATCATAAACTTAACTCGCGGGGAAAGGGGTGGGTTTATGACAATAGCATAAGCTAAACCATACCATAAGATTCGTCTCTATTTATACGCATTTCTTTTTGTAGTGTGCCCCTGCAGTCGAACGTCAGTGTACAAAATAACTTGTGTATCCTAACTGGGGCTGTCATTGCCGAAATACACCTGCCACATATAATTTTGCTTTAATCGACAATGATGGAAAACAAATGTATTTAAGAATGTGAATTATTCCACATAATTACTTTATATAAGTACCTGTACAGAATGAGATTTAATTTGTTGTAATTAACAAGTTTATCTACGGAAATTCATAATACATGGTCTGTGTCTTAAATTGTAAGCCGTGTTTTGGTTCTAGACAAACAAAAGTGGCTTGCAAGAGACACTATTATCTTCCATTATTCTCCAAAATGCCGCTTACATTTAAAGACACTGGTCATGTTTTACCATAGGTCTCTTATACCAAATACACCACAGGGAAAATAGCATTAGCGTTGTGTATTGTTTCAGTTAGCATCATGCTGCCGAAAATTTGATAATACATACTGTAGTTATTTGGTAAGTTACTTTCGGTCTACGGAAATTGACTGACAATAAATGTGTACTGATAGAACGTACATACTGACGAATGACGAGGACAATACGTCATCTTATGTTTTAATTGAACTGTTTGTCATTGAGAGGTTTGAATTAAGTGAATTTTGATATGTAAGTATTCAACCACTGAATACCGTTTTTGATTGAAAATTTACACATTATCATACGGGCCGATGGGTATGGTTCAAATAGCAAATGCATGATGTAGGCCTACTCATATAAGATAAGAGGCCGCTAGATGTTTGATCCGTCGGTGCAGTAACTACTGTCTACTTTGTTAACTAGATTGTGACCGGTACCTTTCGTTCGTTGCTGCTGAAGATCTGAGTAGAAGGAAAGATTCATGAATATCTCTATGGCTGAAATCTTATTGAAAAGTATACTTTCAGACAAGGCGGTTTCGGTTCATCAAAAATACAAATGTATGTGTTATATGAAACGAAAGTGAAACCTATATAGGTGTTATATGAAACGAAAGTGAAACCTATATAGGTATTATATGAAACGAAAGTGAAACCTATATAGCGTACTCTTTTTTTCAATCAGCAAGACGCTTTGTAATGCTTTAGTGGAAAGTACTAATGTTTTGATTAGAAAAGAAAACCAGTTATTTAGATCTACCCATTTTTGCACGATAGAATTAGTGATTTTGTCACTGATTTACAGAAAGAAAGAAAAAACTTTCCCCTGGAACATTTAAATTTAGGCAAAAATGGTAAGTGTTATCAAAATCTTAACTCTGACACTTAATACTAAATACTTAAGTATGACAGTCAGCACTGGGTGAACAAATCGCCTTCGTAAATTAAAATTTTATAGAAGTCGACTGTCATCAGAAGTATATATATGTTGACCTACTTTTGTTATGTAATCGCACTTCCTCAAACTCCAGGTAACAAGAGAAGTCAAAATCTCGTTATTCTATAGTATCTTTGTCTATTATATGTTAAATAGTTTAAAAACCGTCTCACAATTTCTTGATCTTTCCTCACCTTTCCATCCTCGCTTGGCATTAAGTCTGTGATTCACGCCTAACAGACCAATTGAACTTACTAAATTATAAATCGACTTACGGGAAGCACTATTCGAGTCCGGAAATGTATCCTGAATTTCTTATTTCGAATAATTCAGTACACTGGATGTCTTGAATCCAGCAAACTACATGTGACATACAGTTCCACATGTTTTGTTTCTACAGTAAAACATACATCAAAGTCTATAAACAGCGACAGAAGAAAACAAACATCGCAGACATACTTTTCTGACGAAACATGTACCAAGGGAGACAACCTAGACACCCTCCCCCCCCCCCCCCCCCCCCCCCCCCCCCCCCGCCTATGCCTTAAAAAATTCGCAATGGTTATAGCAATGAGAGAAAAAAAGAAAGAAAGAGATATTCACAAGAGGTGCGTGTGCGATTGATGTGACATATAAACATGTACCCTATACCTCAATGAATACATTGAACATATACGTTTGTACGTTATTAACCACAACGAACACGCATGGCTACACTTCCACTCACCGAAAGACAACATAATTATCTAGTCTCAACAATCAAGTTTATTTTTAAAGATAATTTCGTTTTATTAGAGAAACTACATATCCTTTACCGTTGTTTTGCTCAGAAGTACAAACTCTAGCCAAAAGGTTATCGTAATTTAACTTGATTTCATTCAGAGAGTGTATATAGAATGACAGTGTAATAAACAAATCGCTACATATGGAAGTTGTCTATTTAAATGTGTATCTAACTAACACCATGCATCACAAACATACAATATCACCACAATAACTCAATGGATTTCCATTTTATTTTTCTCGTTTATTTTTTTTCCACCATATACATTAAAATCGGTAAAACTATATGAAATTTGAAAAATCGTATCATTTTTACTGTATGACAATAAAAAATGTAAAGGTATATATATATGTATTGAAAACCTGAGGATTTAGAATTTAAATAAAATCATTTCCATGTGTCAAAATGGAATATGACTAATTTTTTACCAAAAGAAAAAAGGAAACATTGAAGGATTTTTTTTAAACATAAAGAAACATGCACCCGTGTGATATGGCCTCATTTCATAGCACGACTTCGTTATTTACATATTGTCAAGTATAAATATATATATACACGTGATTTGTTGATACATGTAAAAATGGTTGCTTTTTTTCTAATATAAAAACGGCAATTAAGAAGTTACCATCTAGAACTTAAATATATAGTTTTATTTGATGTTCTGAATGATCATTGACTCAAGGACCAAGAATCACAAGCCCTAAGTGGCAATGTGCTAAACGTTCCAGTTAGGGGGACTGGGTTACAAAGACACCTAGACCTCTAGTGGACACGTGCAATACATCATCACAGAGAGACAGGAAATTCTTGAGCTGATGTTGACAGGCTGTCCAAAACAACTTCTCAGTACAACTAGTTACACCACCACCATGTCCTCGATCGTTTAAAAGTTAAATAAAATATAAATTCAAATCATGTAACGTGCAAAACTAAAGAATTTCAAATTGTACACTATATCCGTATTACAAACCATGTCCTCTTCATGTTTCCTTTTTCACGATTCGCAATTATCTTTACTTTGATTCTGGTATGGCAATAATATTTCAGTGACTTTTCATAATTTTTCCATGAAAGGAAAAACAGAAACAGGTATGCATCTGGAGGTAGAACATTTGAAATATGTTTTTATAATAAAGTTTCATAGACGACATGGGGAACGGTTGCTTGTGACCTAACACCCAGGGACATTTCTTGGATGGTGTTCTTCTTCTTTGACACGGAGAACATAGGGAGACAGCATTCTGTCAGTCTGACGTCATTGAATGTATACAGAATGCAATTCATTGCTCTGTCTAACACCGAAAATGTCCTTGCTTTCAGATTCAAGAAGAATCCGAAATGGAAGAAAAAATCTTCAGTAATCCATTCTAGGTCCCGCGCTGGTAGTAAGTTCATGTTGCCGTTCACTCCGAACTCTAACCTTACAAATTTTTTTCCGTATCTCACAGCTTGGCACGTGTAGGTAGTGTATATACGACTAGTATCTTCGTTACTTGTAAGTTTGTGTGCGCAACAGATTCCAAGGTCGAAAGCCCATTCATGGGCTGTTCTCAAGAGATGACCCACTCGAAACTTGACCTTAAGCTCCCAGTAGTTGTAAATGCCCGTCAGTTCGCGAAGTCCGTACGTCCCAGCAATTGAGGGACAGTTTTTGGAGGCTGCATTTTCCTGGGGCTTGAAATCACTTACGACTCCCTTTCCTGATAGTCGCATTCCGTCATCGTCTACATTAACTTCCTTCGATGCTTTCTTCGCATCGAACATAACATCACCTAAAGAAAAAAACAAAACGACTGTGTGACTAGATACCGTAGGTCAATGGCAAAAAGCGAATGGGTTGAATCATCTAAGATTATTCTTTGCAAAATATCTTGTTTCTGAGGCACAAAGTATAACTACACAATGTAACTCAACGACTCATTTTTGTCTTGTTGAGAATTCTATTAAGTAATATAAAATATTGATCATAAATCTAAAGCTTTGTCAAAATGGCTTCTAAACACCAACGGAAATATAATTTGGAATGAAAAGACATCTTAGAGGTCACATGGTTTCATTGCATTGGTCAGATGTTAAGACTTTCATTTCGAGATTCTGATCGGGTGTCAAAAATCTAGATTTATTACACACGCGGTTAGCAGTGTCATTTATATCCACATGTGAAAAAGCATCTACAGTGAACCGGTAATAAGGTGAAGGTCACCTTTGTACCGGTTGTCACGCCAATACTCATATCTGGCGTCATCTGCACGCATTTTGGCGTCGCCAAAAATACATGGGGATATATGCAATAAGAAACCGGACAATTTAGAATTTACGTCAGTGTTCTAAAATGTTGTTTTCATTTATGGATTGGCTGTCAGATTTATTGCATTCAGTGGTGTGTAACAAACAGTGGATTACCTACATATGCATAAAGTAATGCTTGTTATAGCGCCATGTTGAATATGTGGACAAGCCAGTGTTTGTTACATGCCAGTGCATGTTAAAAATTTGGCAACAAAACCGATGTTTCCATTTCACATATTTTTTAAACTTCTTTTGAACTCTTACACGCCATTGTTGGCAACCGATAAAATTCCCAGTTAGTTACGAAATCATTTGATAGATATAGGATAGCATGTCATACGAAAGATTTTCTCAAAATTGTAATA